TAATCATGCTTTTCATAAGAAAATATGGGATTTTCTTGAGGAACACTTTCAACAGATATCAAAATATTACTTTACTTAAGGTTTATACATCTATTACACCAGATAGTATAAGGTTTTCTGGGAAAGATATCACACTTTTCAAAAGAACCGAGAACCGTCTTTCTAAAAACAAAATGCTTATGAACTCACCAACTTTATGCTGATACTCTTTCAAAACTTACTTGTATTCTTAGGGCTCTAGTAGACAGGTACACCCCGAAGCTTTTGAGGAGATTGCTTAGTACCGTACTGCGACTCCTGTTGTCTTCTGTATCTACTTTGATGTTTTAATTTGAAATATTTAAAATACCTATGTAAAACTTGTACCTAATAATGCAATGGTTGGCTGTACTTTGATTACTATAATGCATGTATTGTGATACTTACATGACGTCCTCCACCCCCGAACGTTTCCGCCGTTCTGGTTTGGGGGTGTGACAAGCTTAATGCATTAAGCTCTTAATCCTTTTTCCCACATGTCCATACTTTCCAGAAGGCTTTCATACTCCTAAAAGGTCATAAAAATTGGTGCTTTATAGACATGCATATCCAATGCATGTCTTAGACTCAAGTTAGGTAAAAAATGGTGTCAAATGGGGTCAAGATCTCATGCAATTGTTCAAAACTCTATCAAACTTCAGATCAATCACTTCTAACCACAAAGGGGCTCTAAAAACTCACACATGAACCAGTTTCAAAAGATTGGACTTCCGATTTTTGGATTTGTGTTTTTTTCGTTTTTCTGAAACTCACTTTTTAGGACCTCTGTTCTTGGATATTGGTATTCATTTTTTCTTGACCGATGTTGGATTTGATTGCATCTACTTCATGGAAGAATTTAGAAAGGTATACTTTATCGGAGGGAGTGATGTTGGGTTCTTTTGCACCTTTTTTGAGATTCGTTGTTCTAAATTGATGTTGATTTTGGCTTGTTTTTTCATATCTACAAAACATAGGAACAATTTTGTCATCAAATCATTCATCTTCTTCGACGATTTAAGAAAACCCACCTGTGAAACCCTTGTTTTTCATCATTTAACCCGACAAAATCAAAAACACACAAAACAATTTAAATGGAATCACTGTAAACATACCTTGTTCGAGTATTAACATAAATCAAGATTGATTTCGGGGAATTGTTGAATGTGTGTTTATGAAACGACTCAACGAAGATACTGTAAGTGGCGATGGAGGAGAGAAATGACGAAAATGCCCTCATGTGCAAGGCACATAGGGCATGTTAACGGTGCACTCAAATGAACATCCACAATATGACAATAAGGACCATTTGTGTGTAATGTTTGTTCTGTAGGGAGCATTCAAGGGAAAAACATTTCATAGAAAATATTTTAGGGACAAAATGAAAATAAGAAGGACCATTTATGAAATTCTGTCTTTAAATTATCAGTCAATATTATATAAAGAAAATGAAAACAATAAATTCCCCCGCCACCGTCCGCAAACTTTTGCTCTGTATGCATAAATTTCAGCAAATTTCTTGCCCAGCATCATTTCCTAATTTCATCTCAAGGTTTTTTATTTTGGTCGTCCCCATTTCGCCTCTTTGATTCTGCATCCCAATAAACAAATCGATCCCAGATTTCTTTCCATTCTAGTTAACTTTTTTCTCAACTGCGAATTGTTTAAGCTCCCAAGAAAACAAACCAACAATCTTCTGATCGTTTGATAGCAATTGAAAAAGATTGCGTTTCTTGATTGATGGCGGCGACTGCAAACCCTGCTGTAAGTAAGAACGGTTCAACAAGCAACGCAAATGGCGCTGCCACCACCATTAATAACGTTAGCAACGGTGGCCGTGCAGCCGTGCGGGAGAATTCCGCGGTGTTTTCTTCTGAGCGTGGGTTGCTGCACAACATTGTAATCTCAACGGACTGGACTCGTAAGGAACAGTCCTTGTTGGAAGAACTGCTCGTCAGGTAAGTTAATCTTTTAATATTTGTTGTGAAATCTTGGAAATCTGTGCAATAATAATAATATACAGACAAACCTTGTTGTTTGTCTGCTTCATTTACAACCCTAAATTGATAATTGTATACAGTTCGTGCTTGTTTTTCTTGTTGCAGTGTTTGATACGATTATTAATTAGGGCTTTTATAATTCAATCTGTGACATCTTGTGTTGTTGGTTAATGGTTATAAACTTTAAAGTTTGATTATCTTTATGACTTAAAGAATCATATAATGAGATTATAAGGATTATTGTGATTTTCAGTCAATGGTGTTTGCAAGAATAATAGGCTATGATCTTTTATGCAGATATGCCTCAGATCGTAAAGAATTGCGTTATGGAAAAATTTCAAAGGAATTGCAAGACAAAACATTCCGGGATGTGGCCTATCGTTGCCAATGGATGACTGTATGATCTCTATCTCTCTGGAACTACCTTTTTTTATCATTTTGTATATGATTTATGTTGTGTTTATTTTTAATTGATATATAATTCTCTATTGGTATTACAACTTGTTTATATTGAAATAACAATAAACCAATGGGTAGTAGTACTATATCTAATTATATAGGCTCTGATTTTTTGTATCTTTCCAGAAAAAGGAAATTGGCAAGAGAAGGAAAGCCGAGGAGAGTTCATCAAGGAAGCGGAATACTAAAAGGGTATGCTTTATTTGTCTATGCCAAATGCAAAAATTCTACTTCATTTGGTGTGTGAAAACATTAAAGTATAGATGCAAGAAATCTTGTTTGAGCCTTAGAAAAAATGGTTTTTTATATAAATAATTTCTTAGACATAATTGTTCATGTTCCTTTTGTTTTTTCATGTCCAGGAAAAATTTACAGAACAACAAGTGAAGCCATCTTCTCATGCTACAAATCATGCCAATGGTCTTCCATCATCATCCTCCTCCATAAACAATGATGATGGCATCAATTACAAAGGTTATTTGTTGTCTTTATTGTGTTCATAATTATATAAACATGGTGTTATTTGTTGAGAATTTGTGATACAAGATTTTCTGCTTCTTGGTGGATTTTATCTGTAAAAAAAGAGTAAAATGTTAGGACAGACAATTTATCAATGAAGAATCTTAACAATTATGTCTTTGATGCTACTTTTGGATTTTGGATTTTGGATTTTCACTCTTAACGAGTTTAACTGTTGCTTGCAGTTATTGGTGGTGAGATAGGGATGCTTCTTGAACAAAATGACAAGGCTTTGGATCAAATTTCTGCAAATTTATCTGCTTTGAAGGTAAATTTGTAATTTTTTTTAACTTAGAACCAAAATCATGAAAAAGTTTATGGCCTTATCACAGGGTTAAAGCTTTTGCTTTTAAAATGTAAAAAGGTTCATACACATATATTGGATTGGAATACGAGTCAACACAAAAGTCAAACTTGGACTCCTTAAAACTTTTAAGGGCATATATGTCTATAATTAATATGGTTGAGTTTCTTTTATGTGGCAGTTACATGAGAACATCAATCTTCTTTGCCAAACAAGAAACAACCTCGACAAACTCTTGACTGAGTAAGTCATAAGCTCTCTATTCCGTATATGCACTGTTACTTTTTCCACTGTTAAAAAAGTATAGACTAAATTACATTTTTGGTACCTGAGTATAATCAATTTTTGCAATTTTGGTCCCAAAAAGGTTTTTCTTGTAATTTTGGTTTTTATTTAAGGTTTTTGTAACATTTTTGGTCTCTGTTCCGAGTCATATGACTATTTTTGGGACCGAAATTGCAAAAATCAACTTTACTTAATTAGAGACCAAAATTAGTCATGTTACTTGGAACTTGGGCCAAAAATGTCACAAAAACCTCGAATAAGGACCAAACTTGCAAAGAGAAATCGTATTGGGGCCTAAATAGAAAAAAATCATCTGTACTTATCGACCAAAAATGTAAATTACTCAAATATATTTGAAAAAATGATGGCACACTTGGGGAAATGGAAGAGAAAAGTAAACCGGGCAAATTTGTAAATAGTTAGGACTTAACAAAGATGTTAGGAACCGGACCGGGTACACGCAGCGGAAACACACTATCAAACACACACAAACTCACGAAAATAAAGCAAGAAGAACACAAGGATTTTACGTGGTTCGGATTCGGTGCAA